ATAAGGTTCAATCTCTTGGCGGTGATCAAGAACAGGAAAGAGGTGTACACTGTCGAGCTGAAGGAGCTCCAGAGGCAGAGGGAAAGGATCCTGGCAGCTTCTCAAACTGAAGGGGTCAGCCGGGGCAGCTACGAATCGATGAGCAAGTCATTGTCCGAGGTGAACAGTGGGATCGAGACCACAACTGCAAAGATCCTGATGGAGGAGAAGTTCAAGAAGTGGAGAACCGAGAACATTAGGAGGAAGCACAATTACATCCTGTTCCTGTTCAACTTCCTCAAGATCCTTGCTGAGAAGAAGCAGCTCAAGCCTCTGGTCGAGAAAGCTAAGCAAAAGGCTGGCAACGCCAAGTGAAACAAAGACCAATGGTAAACTCTATCGGACGACTTCAATCCAGTCTGTACCTTGTTTTTGTGTCATTTGAAAACTTCTTTTGTTTAAGATTTCTATCTATGGCTTTTTGGATGCTCTAGAATGCATATCTTCAAGCAGAGTTACCGAGTTCAGATGAGGCAGTGGGGATCTCGCTCCTGATTCTTGTAACTGGTACGCCGCCGATAGCTGGTCCCGCCGCCACGTATTCACCAGGAACTGCTACTCCGTCTCGCCGGAGATCGTCGCCCGCCGGTTCCTGAGGATCAGGAGTGTCACGCTGAAGGGGAAGCCTCGGTTTTCCGACTTCAATCTCGTCCCCGATAACTGGGGCGCCGACGTCCACTCATGGCTCCTAGTCTTCGCCTCTGGGTGTCCATTTTTATAATTTATTAAAGTTTATTAAATTATTAATATGATAAATTATATAGACAAAATAAGTGCAATGATGAGGTGGAAAGAATTTTTATTTTTTTATTTTTTTGAATTTCCACGTCATCTAGTTAACGGTTAAACTTTATAGTTGACTGCCACGTAGGACAAACTTAACGGAGTGTAACGGCCGGTGACCAACCGTGAAACGATTCGTAAAGTTAGTGGCGAATAAGAAAGAAAAGTAATTCAGGTGGCAAACGTGAAATATTTGTATAATTTGAGTGACCAAACGTGTAATTTAGCCTTCCCATTAGCATGTTCACAGAACCAGAGCATACCACACTCTATATATTATCATACATTTCGCTGTTCAATTCAAAATCATACCACATTTCCTAAAGGCTAAAGGAGGTTACAAACTTAATTGTAATCCTAATTAAGGACATTCACACCTCAAATCAATACATGATACCTCTTGAGCGCTAAGGATGTTCACCTCAATTTAAGATACGTGCCTCTTCAAAACTAATTAACACAATACCAAAAATCAGTTCAGTTTTAAAAAATACATTTTCAGTGAGAACCTACTGACTAGAAGAAAAAATCGTACTTTAAAATTTAAAAACTTATGATTTCACGCTTCTAGATCACCAAAACGCTTATGTTTCCATATAAAGTCTTTAGTGTATAAAATCGGACTAAATTGCGCTTTAAAGTTTAAAAACTTACGCTTTTACGCTTCTCATTCACTAAAACGCTTTACACTTCTAGTTTACTAAATGGATATTCTTTTTATGAAATTAATGATAAAAAGTATATTTTAAAGGTAAATCGCCAACAATATGATACATTTGAGATTAAAAGATACATACCGGGTAGTTGGACGCATTCTCAGCTTCAATAAAGTAATCTGATTCGCATGCTAGGACCTTCCCAAATTCATTAGCATAGAGAGAAAAACGGCTTATTGTTAAGACCTATGTTTATGAACTAACTTATTGTTAAGATGCTAAGATTTTGTCTACTTTAGACATGAATTGCAGGTATTTATTAACTTATCTTAACTTTGTGCACTCATATTTTACACAATATATGTCGTGCTTAACAGATTTTTAGTTATTTTACAGTATGCGTAAAAAACTTACGTTTTTACGCTTTGATTCTACGCTTTACGATTTTACCCCTTTTCCGCTTGTTGGTAGAATCGCGCTTTTGACTGCATTGGTAACAATCAAGGTAGTAATCTTCTTCACCTTTCTGGATTCAGCCTGCTCAAACTTTGAGTTGCTAAAGATCAAATGAAATTGTAAGAGGACCAACCAGTTCCTTAGATAGGATGCTATGGTTAAAATTCTACGAGATGTTAGCCTGATGAACCAGTAACTCACGGGTCAAGAGTTGGTTGTAAACTCACAGGCAAGAGTACGTTGTAAAGTGTCGAGACACTATATTATTCTTTCATTTAATGGCTTGATCGGACTATACACCGAAGTGACATTTGTATAGTTGGGAAAACCTAATACGTAAATCTAACTACAACAAAGTAAACCTACGAACTTACGTTACCCTAGCCGACTCGATCGGCAACCTAACAAAGACTCCTCAAACCTACCTAGTAACAAATAAAAATGACAGTTGGATCGATCACCACATGGCAGCAAGGTCCAAGTTGCAGGCAGACATACTCTCCTCTTTCTGCGGATCTCATGAACTCGGTAACCCGATAGTCGATGATGGATAGAGATTCGAGGTAATTAACCTGCGGTAGTTGGTAGAGAAAGCTTAGTTAATTTGTTTATTACCCCACGTGTCGCTGAGAGGTGAAGGAAGGAAATAATGTTGTTTAGGTTTGTAAATAGTGAGAGCTGTACGTACGAAAATATCAGATCAAGGACCTTCAACTCAACTGAGATTTGGAGAGAGAGAGAGAGAGAGAGAGAGAGAGAGAGAGAGAGAGAGAGTTGAGTGGTAGGTTTTTCAAATCGCAATCTCACTTGGGTTGATCAGGAATATTCCACTTCGGTCTGCGGGTTGCTCGCATCCAGGACAGATTTCAATGCAGAACGTTTGTCTTATTCAATCCTTCCAGTTATTTAAGTAAGGTTAGTGCCATGGAGAAGTTAGGTTTAAAATGAATCTCTAGCTAGTTCGTGGTTTAAACAGACAACGTTTTGATTCAAAAAAAAAAAAAAAAAAAAAAGACAAAGAAAATATGAGTTGGTAAGAGCAAATATCAAGAAGAAACATCTATTTGTACGAGAAATATGTTAGGAGGAAATTATGTATGGATATCTTATATCGACGAATAGAGAATCTACTTCACGAAGATTAACTATACATGCCTAGATTTGTACTTGTTATAAAGAGGTGAATGTTATGTTATGAGAATGGCACGTGAGTTGCTCGAAGTATAAGAGTGGGTAAACCTAACGAGTTGGGCCAATGCTAATCGATTTGGACAAATTATCTTAGTGCATTCTATACTATCACTATAAAGAGGTTCTCTGTTAGAATATGCTTAATTTTAAATTTCAAACCTTCTGAATAATTTAGAAAAGACATTTTAGTCAATTTAATTAATATAAACCCAAACTCTATTAGAAACCGAGATTATCTTAATTATACTAATGGAGAATAGATTCCATAGGAAACATTTTAAAACTAATTATATTATTATTATTATTGTTATTATTGATGGTTACGTTTGAGACAAATTCTTATAATTTTTAGTTTGTTTATTTTATTTCCTTTCGGTGTCTGAGACAAATTCTTATATGTTTTTGACCAAATAGTGTTCAGAGAAACTAATCAAAGATATTGACAAAATTAGAGATTTTTCACCTCCTTAACCCATCCAAACTGAGAGCATGAAGTTGATTTCAGCTCAAGCTCTGCGATTACAACATCCGTGAATCCCATTAGTGGGTACATATTTTGAAGATAATTAAGGATGAAGAGAGCATTCTCAAAGAAAGTTCATGACATATACTCGATAAATTTAAGTTCTTGAACAATTCTAAAAATGTTGCCATTAGAAATTTGCATTCAGTGAAATGCGGGAGTAGAAGGAAGAGTATTTTAACACCGGAGACAGTGAATTCAGTGATGTAGGTAATTACGTTATTGAGATAAAGGAAGAGATTATTGATGGTGGATATAGAAATTTCAAAGATGGGAGTAGGGATTGAATGGTTGATAATATTTATGATTTGGATGAGGTAAAATTATAGTATCGTGAAAAGATGTTTCACATTTTCAAATATTTTACCATTAAAATTTGATTTTTAATGCAATGTAGGAGAAGAAGGAAGAGATTTTTATGTAGAATATGAAGTTTCATTAATGAAGATGAAATTGTGTGGATAAGGTGATTTTGATGGAGGAGCAATAAAAAGAAATCCAAAAGTAAATTTGCAATAATTTGACTAAACTGAAGTGCGTTTCAAATATTTAGTTTTTAGAAATTGCATCCCTGCATGAGTTGCGTTTCAAACATATCACACTCTATTATCAATTTATCATACATTTCGGCCCTGTTTACTTTCATTTCTGTTTCCTGTTTTTTAGAAAACAGATGTTGAAAACAGGTGAAAACGACATTTTTTCGTTTTCGAAAACAATAGGAATTTGCCACTTTCTGTTTTCAGAGTTGGAAACGAATAGAAAACAGAATGAAAAGTAAACATGTTTTCTCGTTTCGTTTCCCAAATTTGTAACATGAAAACAGAAAACAGGAAACGAAAATGGAAGTGAACAGGGCCTTCGCTGTTCAATTCAAAAATCACACCGCATTTCATAGAGGCCAAAGGAGGTTAAGATTTAAGAATAAACACAACAACAAAAAATTAGTTCAGTTTTAAAAATACATATTCAGTACGTGAGAAGCTACTAACTAGGAAAAAAAAAAAACCCTCACTGGGTAGATCTCGATGAGAATATTACAGTAGTAACTATTTGTTTACTAGCCAGATTTGGATCCATAAAAACCGATAGTAATTAAACAATAAAACCAAATATTACTAATCTCTCTATCCATGTTGGGTGTAATAATTAAACCAGTAAATTAAATCAGTAAGAACTTCATCAAAACAAACAGCAATATGCAGAAAGCACATGCATATGGCCTGTTATCTATATAAAGAGGGTTGCCCCAAAGGTCTTAAACCCACACTACTACTACTACTACTACTCATCAGCTAGTTGGAGTTCAATTTATATTTCTCCATCCTTGTTTCCTTTTGGTTGGCCCAAACATGGCTCCAGCCACTCGTTTTCGAGGGTTTCCAACGATGTCAGTTCCTGCTGTCCTCGTTATCTCAACTGTAACCCTACTTCTGTTGGCTCGTGCCATGGCGCAGAGCGATCCTAGCTTTCCCGACCCTTGCCAAGGCTCTACCTACACGCCTTCGGACAACCTTCCCTACGGTCGCCACACTTTCCCTCCTGGCTTCGTCTTTGGCACCGCCGCTTCTGCTTATCAGGTAAAGCTAGCTAACTATTAATCTTGTTCCAATAAACCGTACGTGGTGTTATATATGCCTCCATGGTAACAAATGATTTCTTCTTTAATTTGTTTGGTGAATCATATCAAAGGTGGAAGGTGCCGCAAATCAGAGCTGCAGAGGTCCAAGCGTATGGGACAAATTCGCCCATCAATTCCCAGGTTTCTTCCTCTTTCTTGTGTAATCCTTCTCATCGTTAGGAGGCATGGACCTGACGCGATTTCGATCGATTTTCTACGTATTAATTGTGCAGAAAGGATTGCTGATCGAAGTAATGGAGATGTGGCCATTGATATGTATAACCTCTTTGTGGTACGCAATGAATGCATATATATATATAATACGTATTTCATGTGTATTTTTGTACTCAGCTTTTTACTACGCTATATTTACGGACGGACGAAACGAACTAATTAATACGTACGTACAGGAGGATATTCAAAGAATGAAGTATATGAACGTGGATGCTTACAGGCTCTCCATCTCCTGGTCTCGAGTTATCCCATGTCAGTACCTAGTCGTCATCGTCGTCGATCCATATTTCGATTGATCTGATTTTTTTCATGGCAGATTTTTCTAATTTATTTGGTTACCATTTTAAAATGTGATGATCAGACGGGAAACGGAGCACAGGGGTGAACAGAGAAGGACTCGATTTTTACCACAAGGTTATTGATTTGCTCAAACATAACGGTAATGAAAGACTAGCTTGGCTTGCTAAAAAACCTAACATAAATCAAATTGAAAATTAAATTAATAAAAATGCTCATAGCATTTTGTGTATGTTACCTACATTGATTGATTTAGGTATCGAGCCTTACGTCACAATATGGCATTGGGACACCCCTCAGGCACTCGAAGCCGAGTACGGTGGCTTCTTAAGCCGTGACATAGTGTAAGCGATTAATTCGTAATATGTAAGATTATCTAGCTAGTCCGTTACGTCCAAATTAATCGTTAATTTCCTATGTGTGTGTTGTGTTATGCAGGAAGGATTTTGAAGATTACTGCGACTTGTTATTCGAAGAGTACGGCAAAAAGATAACAAAATGGATCACGCTGAACGAACCTGTAACTTACGTAATGAGAGGATACGACGAAGGGCTGATGGCACCGGGGCGTTGTTCCACGTGGGTTAACCACGCATGTCTCGCCGGAAACTCCGGGACCGAGCCTTACATCGTCACCCACAATCTCCTTCTTGCTCATGCTGCTGGTTATAAATTGTACCAGCAAAAATACAAGGTATTGTTGATATATAGCATTTAGAATGTACATTAATCCAAGTAATAATCTCTAGTTACTAAGTAATTAATCCTCTCGACTATTGTTCTAACAATAGTAGTTTTTTTTAATAGGCAAGTCAAGGTGGGGAAGTAGGAATCACCATTGTTACTTACTGGTACGTTCCTTACACCGATACCACAGCGGATATTGATGCAGCTCAAAGATCCCTAGACTTCATGTTTGGGTGGTGAGTATATTCCTCTCTCGACCTACGTTACGGATGGCAATCTCTACCTGATCCAAATTACAAGTCACGGTAAACTAATTCGCGCGTATTAATTAAAGGTACATGGATCCTATCACCTATGGTCACTACCCGAGGAACATGATCGACCTGGTCGGATCTCGCTTGCCCACCTTCACGTCGGAGGAGTCGAGATCGTTGAAAGGCTCGTACGATTTTCTGGGGCTCAATTACTACACTGCGTATTACTCCATGAACAACACCAACTTCGACCCTGAACATCTCGAGTATCTTAAGGATTCCCACGCCATTACTACAGGTAATTAATTAATTAATTAATTATGCAGTTATGAATGATATATGAATCTTTCAGGTTTCATATATATCATCTTTATATCAAATTGTACTAACTCTCGTTGGGTTCCATTGTTGTCAGCTACTGGAGCCAATGGAGAACTCATTGGACCGGAGGTAAAAAAAAAAAAAGAAAAAAAAAATCAGTCAGTCAGTGAATTTGATAAAACTACGTACATGCATGCATGGCTATGTGAAGTATTAATTATAATGAAAACTGTTTGATGATATGAAATTGTGCAGTTGGGCACGTCGTGGCAGTACCTTTACCCACAAGGGCTTCAATATCTTTTGAACTACACCAAAGATACATACCGAAACCCTCATATTTACATCACCGAGAATGGTAATAATTTGTCATTTCAATTACTAACTGGTAAAGTATAAATAGCTCATGAGAAGAAGAAGGGTGATTTATCAAGCTGACTGGGGTTTGTGATGATGCATGATCATCAGGACTTTCTCAATTGGACGATCCTACACAATCGATCGACGAAGCGACACAAGACGACGATAGGATAAATTTCTACGACACCCACCTCGACAGTGTTCTCCAGTCCATGATGTCAGTTTTCCCATCTTTCCCACGTATTAACTATATATTATTACTTCAGTTCCGATAATAATATCATCATCGATGAGCTAATTCGAGTGACTTGGTTGTGTTCGCTTGAATATAATACGACGTCGCGTGGTGTACGTTCAGCGGGTACAACGTGAACGTGTCGGGGTTCTTCGCGTGGTCGCTTGCGGACAACTACGAGTGGAACGATGGCTACTCGGTCCGGTTCGGGTTCTACTACATCGACTACACCGACGGTCATCTGACCCGCTACCCGAAGAGCTCGGCCTGCTGGTACACCAACTTCCTTAACTGGAACGCTCCCACGGGCCAGACCCTGATCCGTCAGAAGAATGTTCGTAGCAATAATAAGCTGCAGGCTCGGTCCGCTCGCCATTCTGCCGCAGCTGGCGGACGTCGTGCCCTCCCGGCCCGCCGATTCTCCCGTTGGTGATCTGCCGTGGTGGGTTATGTATCCTTCTTCGAGAGAGTGATGGTCGTGGTACGGATTTTCGATTTGGTGCAAGAATAATAAAGAGGCATGAGCTAGCTAGGGTTCTGCCCGTGGCGTGGTCTGCCTTGATTAATCTCCATCTTCTAGGGTTTGGGGCTTTTCCTGGGCTTCCTTGTAGCGTATTCTAGTGTTACAGTTGCGTGTTTGTTTTCACGCTTGATCGATCTACTTCCTTCCTTTCCGCACTACTAAGCTGTACGTGTTTCTCAAGCATTAACGACTTGGTGATAATAAAGTTTCTACTGTTAAGTTAAGAGTCAATGACTACTTCTCCTTCATTTCATTATGATGTTTCAACAAATGAATCCTTTCGGTACTATATAATAGCTTAGTTTGGTCCTGTCGTTGTAGCTTTTCCAGAAGCAGCTTCTCGCTGGAGTATTCAGATAAGTACTTTTCAAAAAAAAAAAAAAAAAACAGTTTAGTGTTTGGCTATAAAACTATTAGAAGTGCTTTTTAATATGAGAGATTGCGTAAAATGACTATAAAGAACTTATAATATAAAATATGAATACAAATTCTAATCAATAAAAAGTAGTTAAAATGAATCTGGTTAGATTTCTTTTATAATAAATAATATGGTTTTATAATTTATTTTATTTTTAAAAGGATATAAATGAAGGAAAATTATATTTTTTGAAATAAAATTAAAATATGGTAAGGATAATCTTGTATTTTCAAAACAACTTTTCGCAGAAGCTCCAAATCGGAGCTTCTGCTTTTAAGTTATACAAAAGTGCTTTTCGACTTTTCAAAAGCCGAGCTTTTACATGTGGTTGGCTCTGCTTCAGCTTTTGAAGCCGAAAAACTCATCTAAAAGCCAGGTAAACATAGGGAATTACTTTTGCTGGCCCGCTGTTGTGGCCAACAAGGGTTTGGACTAGTGGTAATACCATTATTATAAGAACCGAACCGGATCAATGGTCGGGCTAGTAGAACCGTCAAACCAGTTATGATTGCGGTCTGATTCATTGTTTGGATGGTTATTGATGGACTAAACGACTTTTCACGGTTCAACATAAAATCAGATGCACGGCCATGGTTATACTGGTCCATTGGTTCACTATTTTAACAAAAAAATGCTTTAATATAAACTAAGACCATCAAACCATACTTATTAATTTATATATGTTTCCTCTTCTCATTTCAACCTTGTTGTCAACCTTATGTTGTCCACTACCGACTGGTACCGTAATTTTTAATTCAATTAAAAAAATATGATTTGGTTTGAATGATTTATTAGATATTTTGGTGATGATATGAATTTGCAATTGCTTATAGCCAATGATAACTTTATTCTTAAATTAGTGTAATATACAAGTCTTATATGTTGTATATCATGAACGGTTCTATCAACGGTTCACCATCAGCTTTGTAACGGTTAACCACTCAACCCTAAACCACTAAATTTTCTGGTTCAGCCTCCGGTCCGGTTATGAAAACAGAGGGTAATACTATTAGTATTGAATGTGGAGGTCTCAGGTTCGAAATATCTTAAATATTACTTAACAAAAAAAATCTATATAACTCTTATAATAATATGAACTAGTTACTATATTTTCATCATTGATGACGTCAGGGGCGGAGCTAGGATTTGAGTCTAGGCGCGGATTTACTTAGTTTATCATCACAAAAAAATATAATATAAATCATTCTACATTATAATTACTACATGATATGTTCGAAACAAATGAGCAAATGACGGAAAAAGTTAACCATACATTTTATATGTAGTACATTTTCAACATTTTCATAAATGGAAAATGAACCCCCTTCAATATAATTGTTTGAAAATACAATGAGGCAAATGACGGAAAAAAGTTAACCATACGTTTTATATGTAGTACATTTTCAACATTTTCATAAATGGAAAAAGAATCCCCTTCGATATAATTGTTTGAAAATACAATTCATTATATTACCAAAACAACCCTGTGTTAGGGTGGTTTAGTATGCAGAAGGGCAAGAGCTAACTAACGTAAAAAAGCACAAGCATGGTAGGGTGGTTATGAAAGTAGCAAAAATGACATAAAATTAAATTGCTGCGAGTGAGAGTCGAACTTGAATTTCCAAGGGAAGAGGTGAGCATCTTAGCAACTAGACCACTATCAATTCCTTGTTTCAATAATGCGCACTCAGCTTTTATATAACTACATTAAGTTTATACGTAATTTCCCACAATCCTAAGACGTTTTGCTCCGCCCCTGGATGACGTTATGTTTAGTGACAAAAAAGTTACATCCAAATTTTTACAAAGATTTATATCAAAATGTTCATTTTTTAACCAATTATTACTATTTATATAAAAATAATCAACAAATTATGTAAATAAAATGATGAAATCTACTCTAAATTAGATTAGAGGGAAAAATATTTCATATGAGGAATTTGACCGTTTGGCCTTCCCCATTAAAGCATTTCCACTTTTTGTGGAGCTAGAATGCAAAAAATAATTCTAAAATTATCATTTTTGGCACCACCATTGTGGATGATTTAAAGTATGGCACCATCTGCAACAGTCGTGCAGAGCTTGTATGCATTTGTGACCTCGAGGATAAGATCTACAATTTGCAGTTGAATACTCTAAGAGCGTCCTTCACTTGTTTTAGGGTTTGGTGGGGTGAACTAGCTATCGCCCATGATTCCCACATCATGCCTACTTTACTTACAGTACTTGTGGTGACTAGGCTTTGTGCCTATAAGATTATTAGGGTTCTTAGGGGTTTGGATGGGGATTGGGGTATTGAGAGATTAGTTGAAAAGACCAGGGATTTACGGAATAATATTCAAAGTTACGTAATGTGTTAAGTTATTACGAAAGTCTTACATAACACTTCTAATTTAACCGTTAAGTAAGAAATAACCTTCGTTCTGTAACCTTACGTAGTGATTAACAGTTGTAAAATGTCATTGCGGAAGAGGTCTTATGTGTCACTGCTTTACTTTGTAAGCCTAGGAGCTCCTGGTAGGGATGACAATTGGTAGAGTTGGGGCGGGTTATTGCCAAAACCAATCCCATGATTTTATCCAGCATAAAAGAAAAACCGGAGTAAAACCCACTGGATTTGAAAAACTCAAACCCAACCCAACCCGCTAGGTATCCACGGCCCACGGGTTCATGATTACCCATGGTTTCATGTACAAAGATGCAATTACACTAGTTTTCAATACTATTGTCTACTACATACACACTAACTCGCAAATCATGCATTCATACTAATTGTTCAAGATTAAAGATAAACATCCACAAATAATATGATTAATTGAACGTGTGAGGAATAAATTTAGAAATTATGGTTAATTTGTTAAGGGTTCCGTGGGTCGTAGGGGTATGAACTTGGGTGCGGGTATCCGCAGGGTTGGATATGGCTAAACCCAAACACAACCAGCGAAAAGTATAGCGGGTTTAAACTCAAACTCGACCCACAATCCGTCAAAGCGGGTTTTACCCACTTTGACCGAGTTGGGTCGGGTAGGGTACCCGCGGATTCGAGTTCTATTGCCATCCATGGCTCCTGGTCATATATAAGGAAGCGGTGCTTTAGTTGCCAGTGTTGGGGGTCAGTTAATGAGTAACTGGTGTGGGTGTTATGTCATGAATCGCTGCTGGAGATCTTATCTATCTTAGTAAAAATCCCAATGCAAGAAGGAGATTATGTAATGGAACGAATATCAACCTTGCGTTATGTAAAATGTTAAGTCATTATGAAACATACCGTAACGCTTTTAGTTCAACTGTTACGTAAGTGTAACAAGAATTACGTAATTGTTACGTAATGAACATTAGATTTACGTGAAGCAACCAGTAAAACCTACTAAACCAGGTCAAAAAGTTCAAGTTATAATACTTCAACGTCTGCTGGGAGGAGGTCCCTATACATATACATGCGATGTGACTATACTTCTCCAAAGAAATGGAGCGAATATCGGTTCAAGAAACCTACGTACGTAGTAATAAACGAAAATGACAGTTGGATCGATGCCCACATGCAAAGCTCTCCATGCACGTTAGCCTCTGCATATATTTGCAGGAAGGCAGGCAGACATGGTAGCTCCTTCCTCTTTCTGCGGATCTCGTATGCTCACAGTAACTCCATAGCCGACGATGGATAGAGAGGTAGCCTGCGGACTGCGGTATTTATAATAGCTAGAGGCAATATATATAATCGAGTAGCATATATAGTTAATTTGGTTATTTCCCCACGTGTTGCTGAGAGCGAGGTGAAGGAAATAGTATTCAATGATTGATTCGCTTAGGGTTTGTAAACAGATCAGAGAGCTGCAGTTCGTACTAAGAGATCAGATCAAGTAGCTTCAACTCAACTGAGATTTGGAGAGAGATAGAGAGAGATGAGTGGTAGGTTTTACAAATCGCAATTAATCTCACTTGGGTTGATCAGGAATATTCCACTGCGATCTGCGGGCTACTCGCATCCAGCCCATATTTCAATGCAGAACGTTTGTCTTATTCAATCTTTATCCAGTAATATAAGTCATGAAGAAGTTAGGTTTAAAATTAAATGAAGTGTGTTAAGGAAAAAAAAAAAAACTATCACGTAATCAATTTTTAGAATGGGATATGGGTTCTTCATTACTAGCGCAACATTATGCCATCTATAATTCCTAAAATACGAAATTAAGAGTAAAATTAAGAGAAATACGTCACGAAATTATGCATGCATGCACATTTTTACATTGATGAAGAGAAGTTTTACTAATATGGTTGCTCTATTAATTTTTTTTTTTGATAATGATGAAGAACTTAATTAGAAGGAAAATAATGGGAGTACATGGCAGAGACCCACAAGCAGTGGGCCAAGAAAGAAAAAAGAGACCACAGCAGCAAGAACTACAACGCTGACCGTGATCCAAAGCAACGAAAAAACTGAAGGAGAAAAAAGACAGGAAACCAGCCCAGGAGCCGATCACACAACATTAGC